GTCTTATCTAACCTGTCTGTCTTTCTTTTTCTGGTCTTGACTTTCTGAAGGTCTGGTTCCAGAACAGAAGAATGAAGGATAAGCGACAGAGACACTCCGTGCAGTGGCCTAACCCGCTCATAGACCCCCTCGGGGCATTTATGATGGGCCATGCCTCCCCATCCTCCAGCCTGTGTTACCCCTTCATCCCATTTCCCCTTCCCTACCTCCCAGTGTACCAGCATTTCTCTCTGGACATCAGCTCCCCGCTGTCCTCAGTCCACAGCCCCCACAGTGCTATGATGAGGCAGATGCACCCGGCTCACCTGTCCCAGTGTCACAACCGGCCTGGGGGGGGCCCCCTGCAGCCCTCCGCCGGCCTTGTGCCTCACCCCTCCTCATGCCACTGCTTCCTGTGCGTGCACAGAGGACAGGATCAGCTCTGCAAGGCCAGGGGAGAGGCGCCAGGGCTGAGCCACTCCACCAGTCCCAAAGCCGGACATCAGCCCACCTCTGTGGAGCAAAGGGAAGAAATGGTGGGACAATGTAGACCCTTCAATCACCAATAAAAACAAGTCACCATCTCTGTCTTTCAAATATTTGAACAAACACTGGCTTACCTGTGCTCACCTGAGGTGTGTGGGTGGACGGTGCTGTGGCCTGCTCACCCTCATCTGGATGTTAGAGCTCGTGCGGTGAGGATCAGCTCCTAAATGAGACGTTGTTGGACTCAAGGAGAAAGGAATCCCAGGCTGAGCTCATTGATAGTAAGAGGTCAAACCTTACCTGGGTTTGAACCTGACTATGGCGCTGGTCTGGAAGGCCAACGGGAATCTTTTACAAGAAGGGAGCGAGCAGACTTTGAACCCAGAGGAGGTTTCAAAGTTTGCACCGAAAGATGTCTGTGGTCTGGTTTTCTGCCACATGTGCTAGCAAATATGCTAACAGGACCAGCATTCTGACCCACTGGACAAAAAGGGATATATATATATATATATATATATATATATATATAAATGTATATATGTGTGTGTGTGTGTGCGTGTGTGTGTGTGTGTGTACTGCTTTTCATCTCACCTGAGCTAATTCAGACATACTACTTACCCCCTCTCATCCTACCGTGTCATTATCGGAACCATTCCACCGGTGTGCCCCACCACGCTAAGCTCTGTTCAAACATCCTCATCTGTATTTAACCTCTCTTCTCTACATTATTACACACTGTCAATTTCGAGGTTCTGGTCTCGGCGTGGCGTTGAACACCTGTCCAGGTGAGTTGGAAATTAGTGCGCGATGTCGGAGGTTCGAATGCATCTGCTGGTCCGAAACTAGCTGGAAGGAAAGAGCTGTGCCCTATTTTCTCAATGCCACGTCTTCTAAAATGTGACATTCGATCTAAATTCTGCAAATGAGTGAACCATTCAAAGATTGACATGCCTTTAGATATTACCCATTAGTTGTCTTTTTTTATTTGTTTTACTAACTTTGCTTTTGAGTCTCACAAGAACAGCTAACAAAGAATTTACATTTTTGTGAATATTTTGTTTAAGACACATCTTACTGATTTATTGTTTTCACTCTGATTTTCCTTTCAAATACAGTTTCAACTGCCAACATGGTCAGACAGTAAACGCCACATTTCATCCATTAAAGACTGACATGCACCTTGTTTGTTGGAGGTATTTCTTTAACAGGGTCTCTGTAATCGTTCCATTTCTGAATGCATTCTCCTGAACAAACTTTGCCGGCCTGGTCGCCGTCCATCCACAGAACCTACGTTTCCCGGCCAGCAGATCAACCCCATCCACGGTTAGAAAGTCCCCAGAGAACTGTAGGACCAAGATTAACATTCACCAGACTGGAGCTAGAACCATTCTAGCTCCATTAAAAAGTTTTTCAGTCTTTTTTTTGATTGACACTCACTGATATAAAGCATCATAGAGGTAGCATTAGGCTAACTGATAGCTGTAAACTGACCCTGGGAGTGAGTGGGAGAGTGCATGGTGGTCTCCTTATTCTATGTTTGGTCCTGCAATGGATAGCAAACATGTCACGAATCGTGTTGACATTCTCTGCTCGGTTCCCAGATATTTTGTGTGTTCTGTGTTAGTGTTCATAGTAAGGAACCGGGGGCCGTTCTGTGTGGGGTGAGCATCTTCTCCCTGTGTCTGTGTGGGCTCTCTCTCCATCCAAAAACATGCATTGTTAAGTTAACTGAAGACTCTTAATAACTCCTAGAGGTGACTGTGTGTGGTTGTTGGTCTCTGTGTGGCCATGCGATGGACTGACCACCTGTCCAGGGTGGACCCCGCCTGTGGGGCCCAAATGGAGCAAACAGACGTCATCTCTGCTGCTCCACAGCACCACATAGAAAGAAAGGATATAATATATGAGGAAGTTGTCCTATTTTTTAGGTATAGTCCACACTTTGGATTAGAGCCATATGTACAGCCAGTGGGTTTAGCCTCCGGCTGCCCGGCCCTGAGCTGCATGGACGCTTTCTTTAGTTTCACACCCACAATTAAAGGTGACGTCTCAGTTTCTCCCCACCTATCTGCATCCCACCTTCACTCCGCCTCCTTCACAGCGCCCTTCTCATAAACTGGGACAGAAGGAATTCAATACCGAGCCAACTGCCTAAAACCATTCACGTGGTACTTATTGGATTGGGCTGTGTGTGTGTGTGTGCCTGTGCATGTGTGTGTTCCCTTTCTTCCCTGTGGTAGTCTAGTAAAAGTGGATGTGCAACACACAAAGCAGTAAAGAGATTGCTCGTAAAGCTACCTCATGCCCACAACCACACACACACACACACACACACGCACACACACACACACACACACACACACACACACACACACACACACACACGCACACACACACACACACACCACGACCAAAAAATGTTTTTCCTCTATTTGTGGTCATTCACCATTAACATAATACATTCTCTTGCCCTTTACCCTAAACCTGGCAATCACGGTTGAATTTCCGAAGTCTGACCCTAAACCTAACAATAAAACCAAAGTTTGACCTTCAAAAATCCTTTTAAATGTACGGGGGGCCCACCATGTGGTCCCCACAAACACCGGTCTGTGGGGAGAGTGTCTCCTTTTCTTTGGGCCAGAAAAACAAGTGCAAACACATCCAGTCCTGCTCCACATCACACTCCTCAGTAATACTGACCATTCCCAATGGGATCGATGGACTGGAGACAGATGACCAGAGACAGATGACTGCTGATTGGTGAATTACTTTCTTTGGGGGGGCCTTGTAGGAGACAGTGATGATTACAGCATTGTGACATGAGAGTTTCAGTAACTGCTACTTATAGATTTTGACCATTTAAAGGAGTCATATTTAAATAAGGTTGTATTAAATTTGCTTAACTTTTTTTTTGCTTTATAAATTACGTCAGTAATTGATTAAATAATCCATTCACAGTCCTTAGTGAAGTTTCAGAGCATTTGTTTCTTGACACATCAGAGCTGTGCTTGACAAAAAATATTGAAAAATGTTTAAAGAATTATAACAATTAGAATTTCATTCAATAAAAACGTGATTTTTTCTGCTATTGCAATACTCTTTTAGATATGCATAAACATGTGGCCTGTGTATGATTAACCTGCACCAAAGAGCCTTTGCATTTCATTTCTAAGGGTTGTTTAAGTCAGATGTATGAGCTGTATTTAAGTTTTCAAGTCATTGTAACGCCACTTTGTCTTAATCATCCATAATCACATATGAACTCTTTCTCGTATATTCTGAAACTAAAATGCAAGAAAAACATATACCACATAACTGTATTCTTATAATCACATTATTTAATATAAGAAACATTTTTACAAGTTTGCAAGGCTTAAATATACTCAGATATGTGGGACTTCATACAGTTTTATGGAATTCAGCACATTTAACATGCAATTTCAAAGTAACAAGCATATAGATACAGGTGGATAACTTTTTCTTTAACAACCTTTAATACAGAAACCTCTCTTATCTTCCGGCGCCCCCCGCTGGAGAGGAAATAAGTTATCCTAAGCAATACAAACTCAGAGCTAAAAAAAAATTATTAGAAGCTACAATTAAAATCTTGATTCAGACAAAGTCAACCTGAACTTAAAAAGCATAACAGAAAATGTACGCTAAACTACAAAAACCTACATCACAAAAAATAAGTAGGGAATTCAGAACTCCGCTGCAATTTTGTTTGTTCTACTGGTGTTAATATTCTTCGTGATGGATTACCAATCAGTTTTGTACGTACTATAATTTTCAGAAAGTAATATATAAAAAAAACATCCTACAGGAGGTACTTCCTGTAGGATGATGTAAAACAAAAGGGATGACCGTCGAAAGGTGCTCTTTGTAGATTCGTCGTTCTTCAAGATGTTGACCAATACATTTAATGAACATTCATTTAGTCCCGCCTTAATAGATTCTCAGCCAATCAGAAGTATCAAGTTTCAATAAAGCTGCTTTCAATTGGTTTAAAATGCGTGACGCACAAAAGTACCAAGTCCAAATGAAGGAGGGTTTTACTTCTAACCAATGGGCGTTGAGGACGTACGTGTGGGGATTATAAATGACAAGGTGACAGGCGGTCTAAGTCACCACTTACTGACTGCCGCTGTGAACGCGAGTAAGCATCCACGGACCCTCTGTAAGCCTCCACAAACCGGTAATATTTCCACTTTCAATCATTACTCCTGTACTCGGTTCGGTTTACATGCAAATTAACACAAGGTTACTATTTTCATATATCCGGAAACGCATGTTTAAGACTGTCATTCGCTAGCTAGAAAGCAAGGTCGATATCAGTGATTTGGCTCTGATATAATGTGTCAGCCTGTTTTATAAATTACACATGCACAAAATGCGACTGACATTAGCAAATGTTAATGTCATTCGGAGATGGGAATAGTTATTTAACGACGACCTGCAGCTCCTCTGATTATGGGCTTCCATTTTCAGGCCTGGGCCTACATGGCTTCAGACCACTTCGCCGTTTGGAGGCATTTTTCGGAGTCTGGAGTCTTCTTGTAACGCTTTGCCACTGCTTTACACCGCAGCCGGGCCGTTTTTAAAGAGGGAAAGCTCCGTTTGGCTCTGTAGGCCACGTGTGCTCACCTGTGCCTCTTTGTTGACCTTCACGTCTGGTTAGCTTAGCCACTTAGCTCCCTGTCGGTAAACGGGCTGCAAACCCAGCTGTGTTTGACGTCACACAGCGGATTGGTAGCCTACAGAGGGGTTTGTCCGCTGATTACGGACACTTAGAGCCTCATCCGGAGCCTGGCTGCTGTTTTAATGTGGATCAGAGGCTCTTTCATCCACCTACATGTTTGATCTATGGATGCTTTGGCTTGAATTGCCTCCATAATAATTCATAACTATGTAGCATGTTACTGTGGTGTTTCTGGTCTTCCTCTAGGGTGTTGTTGGCTCTTTGGTACTTCAAAAAAAGACAGTATTTCATCCTTTTTAAACAGGAATCGAGTTTAATGAAATTAAACTGAGAACTTAACTCAGATCTCTTCCCTCTCTCCAGGTTCCAGCCATGTATGCTTGCTCAAAGTTCATCACCTCTCCAGCTGTGGTATGTCGCCAGTTGTTTCCTCAGGCCTCCAGATGTGTGAAAGGGGCATGTGTTGTGTAGTAATGGAAGATGACCAAAATGCTGGTGTTTTTATGTTAGTGGATCAGTACTGACTGACTTTCCAGGTGGGTCATTCTTCACATGGCACTGTTTTGAACTGGCTCTCTGACAGGTGTTCAGTGTCTGTCACATCTGTCAGCTATGTTGGGCATGCCAGTCATGAAGGTGTTGTGTGGGTCTAAAGTTCAGTTTATATCTGGCTCACTGTTTCAGACACAGTCTTCTGGTACAGATGGAGCAGAAATGGTAAAAAAAATCCCCACACATTGGCAAATGATGACATTTCATCATGTGACAAGTTCTATATTCTGATTTGAGGGGTGCACTAAAGCTATTCATGAATGATTTTTGGATAGACATTTAAGAAATCACCATAAATGTCAGATTTATTTATTTTTTCTCTAGTTGTGTTCACTAGTTTGTTTTCCCTTAACATACCCACAGATTTGCCAATCCTGCCAAGGAATACAAAATCATCATGTGGTGTTTTGACATGTGCTTTCTCCAAATGTGTCTGGTCTGTAGCTGCGTGGGGGGTCCAGAGTCCTCTTCCGGCCAGTCTCCAGCTCCCTCTTCAGCAGACCCGAAGCCTCAGTGGAGCAGCAGGTTAGTCCTGTCTCCTCCAAAGCAGGTTTCTTCATGATACTGAGTTTTCTTTTTGAAGAGGTCACAGGGCTCCAGACTGCAGCTGTGATTCCAAATGTGTTGCATTTAAAAAAAGAAAGCTTTGATACTGAACTACATGTACTGCATTGCTGAAAAGTGTCTGATGGCTCATTTCTGTCCTTTTTGTTGGTAAATGTTTACTTCTGCTGACCAGATAAAGCATGAAAATGGTGTAACTGTCAGTTTATCTGAGTTCACTTTTATGTAATGTAAAAACATCTCCAAGAGACATTTGGCTTTTGATTTGTTATATAATATATTGGTAAGAAGGGGGGGGGGGGATTTCCTTCAAACTGCACATATTGTCTATTTGTCCATCCCTCTTCTGTTCCACTAATTCCAAGTCAGAAGTGGGAAGTCTGAGAGGCAGCTGTCTATGACTTATTTGCCTGGTTCCCATGTGGGCCCAGCAGAGTCTGGGGATGAGATGGGGCAGTTTGTCGCCAGCTAAATGGTAGACCAGCTCTACCCTGAGCAGAGATGAATTCCTTTCAGGCTGGAGCGAGACGTCACCTGCTAGTTGGGAATTTGCTTGTATGTTTCCCGTTGAACGATTTTGAAAAACTTGCCACACGGTCCAAGATGAAAGTGCTGGTTCTGGAAAGTGGACTGTGACCAAATGCAGCCCAGTCAATGTTCTCTTTTTTATTATTTTTTTTAAATTAAATGTTCTCCTTAGCTTTTGGTTGGTGCAGCACTGTCGTCCTCGGTAGTGAGTGTTTCTTCTTCTCCGTTTAGGCTCTGCCAGTGAGTCGCTCTACAGGCCCCAGCCGCTTCATCCAGACCAGCGCGGTCAGCCGGGACATTGACACTGCAGCCAAATTCATCGGTGCTGGCGCTGCCACGGTGGGCGTCGCTGGTTCAGGGGCCGGAATTGGGACGGTGTTTGGCAGCCTCATCATTGGCTATGCCAGGTAACTTTATTATTTACATATTTTTATCTGTTAAAAATGCTAGTTAGTGCTGGCAAAAGAACAGTTTTAGGAAGCATGTAGAGGATTTAAGTTGGCCAAGAAGGCCCCCGGTCAACTCATTTCTATAAGGAACCCAGAACGCTGTGTCAGGCTCTGGGCTGCAGCCCTGCAGGTCTTTAGACCTTTTCCTGCTTCTGAAGACCTGAAGGAAAGTGAAGCTCTTCTATACATTATTCCTGGCAATCAAGGGAGGGTGAAACGGGCAAACTACAACCTGTAGGACAGTGGCACATTTCCACAATCTTCGACCTTCTGGGGTTGTTGCCACCTAGTGAAAGTGCAAATGGCCATAAACGAATGGCTTTCATTTTACTGAAGTATCTGGTTGGAGGCAAAGGACTGCCAGCGGCTGCATGTCAACCAGTTTGAGAGTTGTGAAAAAGGAATAAATGGATGGAACATTTCAGGCATTTTAATAAAGGTTGCTGCTGCTGAGACTTGTTTTTTTTAAAAATAAACACAGAAAATTCTTTAAAACTGAAGACAAAGAGGGGCATAATGGCTCAATGTCTCTGGCTAAACTAACGCAATCACTTCTGTCCCATCATGTAAAAGATCGCAACAGAGGGGGGGTGGGGGCTCCCCTAACAGTCCAGACCTACTGTAGCAGAACTGGGATGCTTCAGGATAAGCCCCCTAAGCCATCTGCTGGTTCCTCAGGGGCCTGGTGAGGAAAGGCTCTTCCTCCTGATGGGGAAATATCCCACCATAAGCTCTTCAGCCTCCCTGGGAGCTTTATGTGCAGTAGAACTTAAACTCTTCTACTAAATGGATCAGGGAGGCAATGAAAATAAGCCAAACCTGGAAAATGATCATGTCTGCTGCTCCTGATCTGAGCTGGTTGCAGTGTTTTGGACCAGCTACAGGGCTTTGGGTCATGGGACCGTTCAGTCCAGTCCTGAAGGAACAAATGTACGAGATGCTCCTGATTTTGAAGACATCATGAAGGGCAAAGAAGACGGTTGTAGAAACATGGGGTTGAAGAGCCTTAGAAGAAAGCTGGGCTGTAGAACTAGAAGCCAGAGGACTATAATGTAGACGGTTCCTCCCAGAGGTGCTCAGCACAGGTCAGAAGATTCACTTCTGTGTGAATTTAGGAGGAGTCAGTCATCCAGGTTTGGACATGCTTGATGTTGGTTTGATAGAAGGCTGTAACTTAGCATCAGAACAATGGATCACTGTTTCTCAAAGGCATGTGAAGTGAAGAGAATCTAAAATCCATGACTTTCTGTACTGTGAAAAGCTGCTAATTGGAGGGAATAAAAGCCTAAGCGACTGGTCCTTTGTCCGCAGGAACCCCTCCCTGAAGCAGCAGCTGTTCTCCTACGCCATCCTGGGCTTCGCTCTGTCTGAGGCTATGGGTCTCTTCTGTCTGATGGTGGCATTCCTTATTCTGTTTGCCATGTAAACACAAGCACACTGCCCGCTTTTCCTCATCGCCCCCCCCGCCTCGGCCCCGTGTCCCTCGGCCCTGATGCAGGAAAGGAGAGGTGGTTCCAACAGGAACTCTGACCTTAGGCGGACGGCCATTTCAGTCGAAACACACACACAAATGATAATAATTAAAGGAAAAGTTGACATATCTCTGTTCACAAATTTTTATGTTCCTCTGCTCATTTTTAATCTCAAAGTTTTATGTAAAACCTAATTGTTTTGAAATCTGTCCGAAATAAAAACTTGGGATGACTAAGAGGGATCTTTATTAAATGTTTTTTTTTCTGAATCCTGTGTAGTGGCAACGGTTCCCCTGATGTTTGGCTCTCCAGACACACCAGCTAAGCACAGAATGTTCTTTTTTTTTTTTTTTTAAATAAGGTAACTGTAGGAACCATGTTCTATTTGGCCTTACATTAAAGTGCATGGAGCTTCCTTCTACAGTCGCTGACCAATCAAGATGCTTCCTTCTGGTTTGGTTTTTTTCCTTCTCTACAAGCTGTCCGGCCACATCAAGTCACTGACTTCTGCACGTACTACAAACTCCTCTGGCTTCTAACGTCAGTGTTCACCTGGAGAGTACACCTCCGCCCTGGTTTCATGTCTTTAGGGTCAGCGTGTTGCCTCTGACTCTCCTAATGGAGTCTGCCATCTGTAGGAAAGGTCAGTTTCTCCAAGTGTCATTAAGCCCAGATCATGAGATCCAATTTAACTAAAAGGGGCCTGTGATCAGACCACCCACAGTGGAACCTAGTGTGAGTAAGTTTGCTGTTCTAAAGGTAATTTACATCAGATATCATCCGTGGGCTTCGTATCAAAGAATCAGAATCAGGTTTATTGCCAAGTAGGTTTTCAGACTTTCAAGGAATTTGCCTTGGTATTTGCCTTGGTGGGAGGGGGAGGAATCCAAGACTTTTTAAGAAGTGCTTTCTTGTTTTACAACCATTTTGCTTTTGTGAGGTAGTTTTTCCAATAAAATGTCCATCCATCCATTATATTCTGCTTTTCTGGGGTTGGGTCATTGGGACCAGCTCCTCCAGGAGGATCCCAAGGCATTCCCAGGTCCTGAGACCCACAGAGATGCCACCGTAAGGCCACCAAAGTGGATCCCCTCAACACTTTGGCTGAGCCAAGAAATTCTGTCCATAAAAGCTGTGAACAGAATCGGTGGTAAAGGACAACTTTGGTGGAGTCAAAGTCACTGGGAATGAGTCCGAGTTACCGCCTTAATGTCAAATTCAAAAGAAATTCAATTAACCTAGATTAGAGGGGGAAAAAGACGATGGCAAGAGGCTTGACAAGTCTTTCAAACACTGTCCAGCAGTTAGTGACCTGAAAGCATAAATGCCCTAAACATTGCTTTTAGTTTAGGTTTAAAGTCACATTAAATTACATCATGGGTCAAACTAATGCATTATTCAGTATTTCAGGTATTTTTCAACTTGTTTTTTATATATACATACATAATGGGGTATGGGTCTAACCCTGTAAGGCACAGCATGGGTTAAAAATGACCACTATCCATTTCCCTGACATTTCATGTACATCCTCATATTTATAGTTTAAATAAATGTCTTTAATCATTTGCTATTCCAAATATTTAGTAACTTTATATGTGTCACCCTACTTTTTTCCCCCCATATTTCTCACTTTATGATCAAGATTAGAAACAATTGGAATACACTTAATACACACATATATATATATATATCCCCCCCCCCTACACACTTTTTTTCAAGTTGTTTATGTTGGCAGACATTTTACAACTCTGCAAATCTTTTTTTGGACAAGTCTTATTTTGTAATTGTTCCAACTTAATCGAAGAAAATATGTAACTATTTACAGCGTACTAAAAGATAAAGATTTATTTATTTTTTTCCCCCCAATGTCGTGCGTTAGGAGGGATGCGTACAGCGCATGGAAGGAGTTAAAACACTGAAAAGGGACGCACCGTTCTTCATACTGTAATGAGGTGCCCTTTTACTTTGAAAGGTCTCGCCGGATGTGCTACGTTGGCTCGGGACACGTGATGCGACTTGACGGCCACCAAATCCCGAAGTTGCGGTGTGTTGACTGAGCAATGGTGGTTCCGTCTGTTTAAAGCCGGAAATTTTTACCAGCCAATTGCGGCTGAAACAGACGACGGGGACCCAGAGGCCCCGGCTTTGACGGTTACAGCAGGCGGGCGTTTAGGTGTTATCCGGGGCGCTAGATACTTTCACGGGGCCCGCGGAAAACATAGTTAAGCTAACGTTAAATAGCCACCATGTCGGGGGAAGAATTGCCTAGCCGTGTCGCCTCTCTTCTCCGGCGTTTGGCTGCCCTCTGATCCCGAATCAGAACTCACACGAGCAGCTTTGGACTCGGCTGTCAATGTAGCTAACAGCTGGCACTTGGCAGTACTCGACACGGACTGGTTTGCGGTAGCCCGTTAGCTTACCATGGCAGAGAGCTTCGAGGAGTCCGGCTTCTGCTCCCTGGGCTCGGACGTCCCCGGACAGGGCGCTGCTGGTGCCCCGCTGCTGCCGACTTTGGCCAACTCTCTCCCGGCGGGACACCCGGTGGGTAGCAGTGCTCAGAGCAGCCCTGGCTCGGCCTCCCCCCCTCCGGCAGCCTCTGCGCACGGCGGCCTAACCTCCGTATTGGCCCCGGTTTCCGCTGTCGGTGTGGGGAACGCGTTTCCTCCCGGCCCTGCGCCACCTGTCGTGGCCGTGTCCCCGTCACCTCTGGCCGGCGTGGGCCTGGGTGTCGCCGGGGTGGCAGGAGGGGGCCTCCTGTCCCAAATCCACGCCACGTCCTGGGACCCGACTCTCAGCACGGACTGGGACAACGAGAAGGCTTCACAGCAGTGCATCCTCCGGATTAAGAGGTAAACACTTCCCCAGGCCTCTACCCAGCCGTCTGTTTTCTGCTGTTTGTTCTGGTCCCCGGGGCTTTGGTGGGTCTTTATGGATCCCATGGGGTCCCTGTCTTTTGGTTCCCTACTTTTGGTTTCTGTCATTTGTTTCCTGTCTTTAGGTCCCTGCCCTTTGTTTCCTGTCCGTTGGTTCCTGTCTTTTGGTCCCTGTCTTTTGGTCCCGGTCTTTTAGTCCCTGCCATTTGATCCCCTTCTTTTGGTTCCCATCATTTGGTTTCCCTAGTTCCTACAGAGCGGTGAGGCTCGGCCCTGTGGCCGGGCTGAGGACTTCTGCCTCCATGTTCCAAATGGTTTCTACCATTTGGTCCCTGTCTTTTAGTTCCCGTCTTTTAGTTCCCGTCTTTTGGTCCCTGTCTTTTGGTCCCTGTCGTTTTAGTTCCTGTCGTTTGGTCCCTGTGTTTTTGTCCCTGGCAATCGGTCCCTGTGTTTTGATTCCCGTCTTTTGATTCCCGTCTTTTGGTCCCTGTCTTTTGGTTCCCTACTTTTGGTTTCTGTCTTTTGGTTCCTGTCTTTTGGTTCCTCTCTTTTATTCCCTGCCTTCTGATCCCCGTGTTTTGGTTCCCATCATTTGGTCCCTGCCAAATGATGGCAGGGAAACCAAATGTTTTTTACCATTTGGTCCCTGTCTTTTAGTTCCCGTCTTTTGGTCCCTGCCATTTGGTTCCGGTATTTTGGTTCCTGACTTTTGGTGCCTGCCATTTGTTCCCTGTCTTTTGGTCCCTGTCTTTGGGTCCCTGTCGTTTTGGTTCCTGTCTTTTGGTCCCTGTGTTTCTGTCCCTGGCAATCGGTCCCTGTCTTTTGGTTCCCGTCTTTTGGTTCCCGTCTTTTGGTTTCCATCTTTTGGTTCCCATCTTTTGGTTCCTGTCTTTTGGTCCCTGTCTTTTGGTCCCTATCTTTGGGTCCCTGTCGTTTTGGTCCCTGTCCTTGGTCCCTGTCTTTTGGTCCCTGTCTTTTGGTTCCCATCTTTTCACCCATCTTTAGCCGCCCGTTGGTTCTTCATATTCCCCTGGCAGCTGTTTATGTGATGGAGCTTTTAAATGGCTAAAACCTCCAGCTGACTGTGGATGGCGTGTAGTGGTCAGCCATCCAGGTTTCATGACCCATTCCCCTTTTCCCAGAGAACTAGTTCCTACAGAGCGGTGAGGCTGGGCCCTGTGGCCGGGCGGAGGACTTCTGCCTCCATGTTCTGCTCTGATCCCGTGTTTGAGGCACAGGTCACTGGTTCTGTAGAGCTCAGCGTGTCCTTCTCTCTGTCCGTAGGGACATCATGTCCATCTACAAGGAGCCCCCGCCTGGGATGTTTGTTGTTCCTGATCCACAAGACATGACCAAGGTAAAAACCTGTAGATGCTCCCATTTCGCTCTCCTTTGACTTTGATTCAGGATGTGGACCTAAATAGATTTTACATTAAATGACCAATATAACGAATAACTACTAATTAATCAGTTATTAATTAATTCTATTCATGTGGCACCAAATCACTACAGATGTCATATTTAGGCCCTTTATTAACACAGTCCAAATCAGGCCAATTAGAACGAATTTTTTGTCATTATATTGATAATCCAACCCTTTTAAGCTAACTCAATAGAAAATACATGTCATATAGAAACAGGTTCATGAATAAGGAAGATTACAGTAAACTCAATTAGTTCCAATCCCTGTCCTAAACAAGCATGAGGCTTTTTTTCCTTTTAAAGGACAGACCAGAGGGGCGACTGGAAGTGGAGGAACAGCATTGTGACTGTGTGGAGTCCGGTTCTGGGGCCGGCCCGGCCCTGCTAGCTGGGCTAAAGCCACCAGTGGACTGACCCGTTCCTCCAGTCTGGTCCCCGTTAACCGGCTGCTCTCCCTCCCGCTGTAGATCCATGCCCTGATCACAGGGCCCTTCGACACGCCCTACGAGGGCGGCTTCTTCCTCTTCCTGTTCCGCTGCCCTCCAGACTACCCCATCCACCCGCCCCGGGTCAAACTCATAACCACCGGACACAACACCGTCCGCTTCAACCCCAACTTCTACCGCAACGGCAAAGTGTGCCTCAGCATCCTGGGGTGAGCCTCTACCTCTGGAGGTGCTCTCATGGGGGGGGCTGCAGGGTGTGTGACCTGTCCTTGCCTGTCTGTGTAGGACGTGGACGGGCCCTGCCTGGAGCCCAGCGCAGAGCATATCGTCTGTCCTCATTTCCATCCAGTCTCTGATGACGGAGAACCCCTACCACAACGAGCCGGGCTTCGAGCAGGTAGGCTTCAGCTCTGAGCAGAGACTTTATAGCATGATCCAGCCTCGAACCCAGCCAGAACCAGCCGGACTGATCCCACTGGGCAGATGTTTTGTTGGATGATATAAGTAGCCATTCAGAGCCCATAGTTCCAAAGTCTGAGGAAGGTTTCATGTAGGAGTCAGTCAGTGTCAGTCAGCTCTCAGAAGCTGCATCCCAGCTTGCGGGCTAACTTCAGATAACCTGTTGGAGGTATAAGGAGAGTCCAGTAGAGCCCAGCTGTCAGACTCTGATCCTCTCTGGCTGCAGGTTTTAGAGGTTTTCCCTGTCTCACACACCTGATTCACATCAGAGAGCCATCAGCAAAGCTCCCCAACCACCAGAGGAGATCCAGTTTAACCACAACCAGGTGGGACGAAGCAGGAAAAAGCATTTGGAGCTCATCTTAAACATAAACGTCTGGTCCGCTGTGCTGAGCCCTCACCAGTGGGGCGGGCCATGTTAAAATGTCCCAGAAGGTAAGATCTGACTGGGACGTGTGTCTGTCTGTCAGGAGCGGCACCCGGGGGACAGCAAGAACTACAACGAGTGCATCCGCCATGAAACCATGAGGGTGGCTGTGTGCGACATGCTGGAGGGCAAGGTTAACTGTCCTCAGGCTCTCTGGTGAGAGGCACAACCCCCACTCACATCATCGTCTCCCTCTTTAACTTTAACCTCCTGAGACCCTGCGTCCTCCTGGGAGGTCTCTGTACCATGATCCTTTTTTCTCTGACCTTTGACCTCTTGGCCGCTACTGTTTGAAATCTAAAGGAAAATGCTTTTAGACATTTTACTCCAATCATGTTCTTATTTTGTAATTTAAATGTTGCAAATAAGTCATTTTGACCCTCAAAACCAAATAGAATAAAATCTCTAAACAGACATTTTAAATCTAAAGATACACGCACTGAGCCTCTATGAAGAAGAACTACCTGAACCAGGACAAAGTCTGGTTCTTAAACTTATTATCTCCTACTGATCTGGAACAGAGCAGAAACACAGCAGACAAAAGCTCAGCAGGCTCTCAGGAGGTGAAGCAGTAGTAGTTAACTGATCGGATTGATGCATGTGGATGCTTTTTCTTGTTTTTGTTTGTTTTCAGGAGTGTGATGGAGAAATCCTTCCTAGAATACTTTGATTTCTACGAGGGAGTATGCAAAGAAAGGCTGCATCTTCAGGGCCAGAACATGCAGGTGACTGTTTTCATGGCCCTTAAAAAGGATTGAGATGTAAACTGGGAAGACCTTTTTAGGTTCTAAATGATCATCTACATAGAGGCTTTTCTCATAGAGAGTTTCTGAGCAGATTGCACTGAAACCTTAGTGCTGAGCGTGTATGAGGCGCCAGTAGGAAGAAAACCACCATTCAAACTGTAGGGAGGGTTGTACATTTAGGCCACTCTGTCACCCAACAAAAAAGGTTTCCTAAGAAAACTGAATGGATAGAAATAATCTCTGGTCAATTTTAGGGCTGATGTTGACCCACGGAGTTTATTTAGAGACGGCACGGTATTGAAACGGCACGGTGTTGTGGTGGTTAGCCCCATTGCCTCACAGCAAGAAGGTTGTCGGTTCAAGTCCCGGGGGAACCAGGACCTTTCTGGGTGGAGTCTGCATGTTCTCCTGTGTCTGTGGGTTCTCTCCGGGTTCTCCGACTTCTTCCCACCGTCCGAAAACCTGCATGTTAGGGTGATTGGAGATTGGGGAAATTTCCCTTAGGAGTGCATGTGAGTGTGAGTGGTTGTTTGTCCTTGTGTGTCTCTGTGTAGCCCTGCGATGGACTGGCGGACTGTCCAGGGTGACCCCGCCTCTCGCCCGTTGACCACTGGGATAGGCTCCAGTTCCCCCCGCGACCCCATCAGGGAATAAGCGGTATTGATAATGGATGGACGGATATTATAACATTATTTAATCTATTCTTTTAATGAGGTTTAGAAATGAGGATGGTGCCATAGTTTGATAGCCCATCTCCCCACTGAGCCACACAAAGGATTTATTCTGCTGTAGTTACAGCTAGCTTCTTGTGGGTGTAAGAGCTAGCTTCTTGTTGGTGTCACACTAACTTCCTCTTGGTCTTAGGCTAGCTTCTTGATGGTGTTACAGCTAGCTTTTGTTGGTGTTACGCTAGCTTCTTCTTCGTGTTACGCTAGCTTCATGTTGATGTTAGAGCTAGCTTCTTGTTGGTGTTCACCATGCATCTTGTTAGTGTTACAGCTGGTGTACGAGCTAGGTTCTTGGTGTTACAGCTAGCTTCTTGTTGGTGTTACGCTGGCTTCTTGTTGATATTAAGGCTAGCTACTTGTTGGTGTTAGAACTAGCTTCTTGTTGGTGTTACGCTAGCTACTTGTTGGTGTTAGAACTAGCTTCTTGTTGGTGTTACGCTAGCTTCTTGTTGGTGTAACGCTAGCTTCTTGTTGGTGTAACGCTAGCTTCTTGTTGGTGTTAGAGCTAGCTTCTTGTTGGTGTTATGCTAGCTTCTTGTTGGTGTTAGAGCTGGCTTCTTTTTGGTGTTTTCCTGGCATAAAAGCTTGGAGTGAGAGGATCATTGGTGGGCGTGATCTGAATAACCCTAAATGGGTTTAAAGTGACGGCAGGCTGTCTTTGTGAGGCCTCTCATCAGTGTGTGTGCGGCCTCTCCCCAGGACCCCTTTGGGGAGAAGCGCGGCCGCTTCGACTACCAGGGCCTGCTGGCTCGCATCGGAGCCACTCACCGGCGAATACGAGAGAAAAGCCTGGCAGAGGACGAGCGCAACCAGGCGGACTCGGACTCAGACACCAGCTCCTCGGGAACGGACCCAGACAGCCAGGGCAGCACTCAGCCCTGACCGGGCTCTGCTGGGCGCGTGGCCGGGCTTTTTCTTTTTTTTTTTCCTCCTTCTTTAATTCTTTATCTAACTGATCGATCGATTGCTGCAGAGGATCGTACAAGAAAAGAATCCACTGCTAAGATTTGCGGCTTTATGGGTCCTGCTGGTGTGTGGGGTGGGTCCAGGGCTTCTAGAAAACGAGTGGTAGCACCGGGCTGCCATCCTGGACTGGGAGACTAGGGCATTAGAGGACCGATGGGTTAGAAAGCGCTTTATATTTCATGTCCAGACGAAGGAGGTGGGGACTGAGTCTTATCCGGAAGGCTTGGACAAGAAGGAGGGAGCTCCTCTCAGTGCTCAGACATGGGCTGGAGCCACAGTGGGAGAGACCAGCCCCGGTCCGGTTTGCTAGCACTCCTGGAAAACGGGAGGGAATGGTGGGCAGTGGAGGTCAGAACCGGACCCGTCTGGGGGGGCTTTGCCTTGGACAAAGCAGGCCTCACACAAAGGTCTGGGCCTCCAATGAAACGGACTCAAGGCGAGTCTGGATTTCGGTAGGAAGTGATTCCAGCGCGATGCGTCTCTGAGAGCAGAAGGAGAAGGCTTTGTTTTCTCTTCTGACGGCCTGGACAGTTTGACCGTTCCCCTGGTTTACTGGCTCGACTCATATCCATCCTCCTGCAGTTGTCCTGTTGTAGTGCTGAAACCGAATGCTCCAAAAGTGCATTATCTGTAAAACCCCGTTGCTTTTTCATCCTGTGCTTTTTTTTCTCTTTTCTTTTTTTTTTCTATACGGCATTTTTTCTGATTTTGTTGAAAATTAAAACCTTTTCCTGTAGTAAGCCGGTGTGCTCTTCGTGTTCTTTTCCACCAGTAGATGTCAGACTCGGCACAGACGGGCCGAAAACCATTTCATCTGTTAAGTGGAGCAGCGTTTGGCTGCTCCATAGGGAGGGGATTAATGAAGTTGCTGATAGATGGTAGAAAATGGGGGGTTGGGGGGGCTGGTCAACTGGCTGCCCTGCAGATTTCAGAGGTCTGCCTGTTTCCAGCCGCTGATCTGAGTCAGTGCACCGTCAGGAGACCTGTGCGGGCTAAAATCTGCTTCTGAAGAGGTCCGTTTCATGGGAAGCACGCCTGCAGAAGCAGGGGAATGTCTCCAACCAGCTCCACACGGGGAGAATATTCCAAATCTGATTTCACCAGCCATACTGACTCAGAATGCCCTCTTTCCTGTTCAAAGCCAAATAAAGGCACATTCACCAGGCTCACTTTTAATTTGGCCGTGGTTTTATTTTAAAGAGTGAGCATTTAAATCCTGGATACAGCTGAAAACAGACAGGTTTTTCTTTAATTTGTCCTGTAAAAGTCTGATGGGAAGCTGCTGGCTTTAAATGATATTTCCCCTAGAAATGAGGGTTTTCTTAGTTTGTTCAGCTAAATGCTGGAAGCAGTGAAATGGCTCCCTTTTTTCCTGCACTCTTTAAGTAGCTTAGAATAAGTGAGAATGTGAGAATAGCCTCTGAGTAGAAGCTAATAATGATATGAAGATGTGGTGGCACCCGGACGTCACAACTCCACTGAGCTGGAACACAAAATGAGCTCATTATAGATATAATCACGGGAATGATTATAGAATAATGGCAGAGTAGAGGCAGTATATGTCAGATATATGGTGGGATTGACTTAACAGGGATTTAGAGTTAAAAATGGCATGATTATCTTGGATAGTAAATAGGTAACTATTTTCTGGACTCCTGACTATACTCAACTTTAGACCTGACCTCCTACTTGGTCCTGTAGATCTAATAAACTCAAATAAACCCCCATTTTGTTTTGTTTTTACCTGTAATTATTGGATTCGAGACATCAGAGCCGCTCCTCAAATGATGGGAAACAAAACTGTTTCTCAATGCCTTTTTGATTAAATGAAATCTTTAAAAGAGTAATATTTTTTTAACTTTGAGTTAAACTATATGTTTTCAAAGAATTCACTGAGGGTTTTGGGACTGTCCTCTCTTAGTTAAAGGTTATCACACTTAGGGTGAAATAATATAAATGGATGTATTCTGTTGTTTTGAAATATTAAAGTAATATTTCCAATTAAACTAAGCCCTTAATCCTTGACCTTAAATCAGTTTAAATCATATAAATATGACCTAATCAGGAGGGATCAACAATACTACTCAATTCTTGATCTTTGCACCTATTCCAGGTTCTGTAGACCCTGAAAATAATGTCGACTGGTCATGTTTATGTATTATCGTTTGGGCTTTGGCATTAAAAGACTTGGTAGAATTTTTCCAGGAGGGCTGAAACTCTTGGAGTTCACAGGTCGGTGTCATTTCAGCTCTCTTCGGACGCCCTCCGATCCTCTAATGAGTCCTTTTTCTGTGGACTGCTTCCTTGAGCGTTTCCTTTGGCTGGATCTGCTTGGAGAGGCCGCCCCGGAGTGGGAGAACTTTCATTCATGTCAGAGGTGTCATCGTCTGGAAAATGTTCACGTTTTGAGTCCATCCATTTTGTGTTGAGCCGAGAGAATGAGACCGAGTCCTAAAGCATTATATAATTCACCAGTACATGATAATACGACCCAGATTAAAGCTAATGAACAACGATAGAGTGAAATATCATTATCTTGGTCATCTGATTTTGGCTGAAGAGCAATTAGGCAGAGCTCCATGCGCAGATGCTAACTAAGGAGGAGAGGTTAGCTCCTCTTCTATCCACGAGCTCTTCATTTAAGGCAACACAGGAGGGCAGTCATCATAACAGGAATTGTCAGTGTGCTCTGCAGGCAGGAAACCAGAGCAGGCTTCTAATTACTCAGCCCCTCTGTGAAGCCCAGTAATTAGGATGCATCTCCTGGCCGTAGCTGAAGGCTGCGGAGAAATCGTAGATTGTTCAGAGGTTCATCCGCTTGTCTGCTGGAGTAAAAACTCTAGTTACTGCGGAGGACTCAATCTGTCATCACCTGAAGTAAGTTTGAAAATATAGAACTTTTTAAATGAATAAGTTCATGGTCAATAAATATGAAAAATGTTTGCTGAAATCATTTAATTGTATGTATAAGTGCAAATTAAAATGCTTTTAATTTGAAACTACATGTCATCAAGTGTGATTTCCCTTTTTTATATATGTTTATTTAAGTTAAGTTATGATTTTATTATTAATTTATCTTTATCATTTGTTATTTGAGTGCTCTCCCGGTACTCCGGCCCGCTTCCACCTTTCAGGGATGTGCTTGTATCTGGTAAAACTGACAGTGAGGGGGCAGAAAAGTGAAAGGAATGAGGCCAGAGAGCCCTGAGATCGAAGCCCTCAGAGGGCTGTAAGCAGTGGTGGTGGGTTTAATTCCCACCGGACCCGCTCCTCACACCTCCAAACACCAGGGGGAGACAGCCAGGACCCAGACGAGGCACAGGGCACCTTCCAAAAAAGCCTTAATCCTGTTTCTTATGTTTCCCCGTCTCGGTTTTGGATGCATTTCCTCCTCATTATACAGAATATTACAGTCATTTAACGTCTGGGAAGCTGCTCCCTTCATAATGTCCCAGCTACATTTTCTTTGCCCGGGCCAAAGAAATATCTTAAAATGTGGACTCATTTAGTTATTTTTGCTCAATCTCACATACAGCGGCCTTTTCATTGAATCCAAATCGATGCATTCCTGATGGAATGGCTGAAATGGCTGAAGGAAAGAGCTTCCTTCCCTCCATCTTCTCCTGAGATGCCAGCAGCTAAGCTTCACATCAGCGCAGTGTTTTAATGTTTGATGACACGTGCCGGTACGTGAGGATTGACATATCCTCTCTGCCTCCAGAGAGGCTTATTCCAGATGGAAATGAGCTCTTTATTCCCAACATCCACAGTCACCGAGCTTAGGACGAAGGGGACGGCTCCCTTATCTCCCAAGTGGGTTCCAGTCACTATTTCTCTTTTTTCACGTCCTTGTTAGCATGAGCAGACCTGCTGGGCTGTGCTCTCTGATTCGGAGCTGTTTCCTATAGGTGTTGGGATGAAGGGGACGGTGTTCTGGGGAGGGTTAGGGGGGCTGGAACGGGCCCACGGCTCGGAGGGGAGAGCAGTGCTGCAGCCTGCTCCGAATAGGCTAACACAGCACATTTGCTCTGCACCAGAGAGAGAAGGCGGGGAGGGGGCAAGTAGTCGAACAGGAGGAGGAGGAGGGGTGGAGAGAGAGAGAAACGGAGAAAAAGAGAGAGAATATCCTGTGAGAGGGGAAAGAGTGGGAAAAAAAAAATTGGAGAGCACTAATGATCTGATGGTCTGCAGTATTTTTCTCCCTTTTCTGTGGAGCTCAGCGAATACTGGTTCTGCTCCCGGTTTCCCCCTCGTTTGTCTAATTGTTGGTAAAGGAGCTGTCTCGGAATGGAGGCAAGAGAGAGAGAGAGAGAGAGAGTGAGAGAGAGAGAATGAGATGAGTGGAGGGTGTTAAACACAGCAGCGTATCCTTTCTGCTTTGATCCAGCTAAGTCAAGTGTTTTAGTAAATTGAAAGAGGACTGAGAGGCAGAATAATGCGGAGAGGAGAGCAGAGGACGGGCTCCTTCCCATGGAGGGGGCTGCTCCTCACACAGGAAAACACACCGAGGTTTCATCCTATAACACACGGCCACCTTCACATCTGGATGTTTAAACACTGATGCTGAAAATGAGCCGCTCTAATAGGAAATACTGACAGGATTATGGCCACATTTCTATAGACATGTTGGGTAGAAATTCTTTGTGCGTTTGCACAGATGAGACTAAAGAGTTCTTGGCTGCTCATTTTCCATCAAAAGACCATCTCCAGCCTGAGTCCAGATGTTCCAGCATTGGGAGTCCATCAGTTGGTGCTTGTGACTGAAGAGGGGGGGCTTTAAATGGCTTTGTGAGCTGCATGAGGACCTCGGTCAGGAACCCCCCCCCGGCCAAACCCAGCTTCTGAGCAGATGTGATGGAGATGTGTGGAGAAACCAGGGACCAGCTCCAACGTTCACCAGCCAGAAACATGCCAATAGGGCCCCCGGTCCCCCCTCCCGGCACAGGAAGTAGCCATAGCCCTCAAGGGCTACTCATCCCTCAAGAAGCATCACCCCCCACTCACCCCCCCGGTGAAGCGGTTATTAATATCAAAGAGTGAGTGAACACATGAAGGAGTAACTGGGGTTGAGGACCAAAACTGGAAATGGGACAGCAGAAAGCAGCAGAATGGGGGTGGGGGGGGGGGGGGGCAGAACAAACGTTCCCCGTTTGGAGGAATCCGTCTCTAAATGACTTCTCCTGTCCCATCCCAGCCAGTTCCTGCTTTTCTGTCTGGCTTCGGCTCATCGGCCGTCAGCTTATTTCCAAAAAGCTGGGGCATTTAAATAAACAAACTCAATTTGTGTCTGGGTGGATGAGTGGGCCAAAAAGGGGGGGGGGGGGGGGGGGGGG